TGAACAGTCAGCAGTGAGAGCCTTACTCTTCCTTGATTCGGAATACATAGGCCTAAAAAAACTGAAGTCGAAAACAGAAGTTGAGTGAAAGTGCTCACTTCATGAGTATAGCTTCTTTCATGAACCTGATCTTTTCGGATTCTTCATAGCCTTGCCGTAGCGTCTGAAATGGTAATACTCAAAACCTTCAATTCTCATAGTGCCTTTAACAGACCTTTATGGCGACTCTAGTTTCTCGGTCTCTCATCGGCAGACGGGTCGCGACGCCTTCCCACACTTCTCCGAAGCTGCCAGTACCTAACTTCTTTTCCAAGCGAACGTAGTCGGAGCGAACATGTGGAAGATCTGCAATGATTCCACTTGAAGATTCCTTCCTATGCATGAAAGCGTATCCAAAAATTATCATTCACAAGATCCATTTCAAGAGTGTCCTGGTAGCCTCAGTTTCAAACAGCTGCCAGAGCTCAAGAAGGTGAGCTTTACTGGCCAAAACTGGATAGTATCGAAGCTGTACAGACCTTCAGCGAAGAAAAAAGGAGGCTCAAAGGGAATTTCGGCTTCTTCACAATTATGAAAAAGTTGCTAGATACTAGACAGTTGCAGGATTACGTTGGTCATCAGAAACTCAGTGGCTCACAACTCCCTCGCCGGCCAAAGTCATTAGGAAGATTATAGTGCTGTTCAATACCCTTTTGTTTACAGATGTTGTCTGTTTTTTGCTTGATCCGTGGTTTCATGTTTACAATAACAAAGCTCACTTTTGATTTCGTTCAGCATTTCCGGTGGCATCGGTTGACAAGGAGTGTGATCAAGGCCAGCGATCTTCTCGAGCGTGATACAGTTCTTGTCCAGATTTCGCTCTTTCTTCAATCGGGCGGCTCGGGCACGAGCTCTAACTAAAAAGGTGGTGATTGTGTTTTTCATGCAACTAACTTACATATACCAAAATACGTACTCATCAGAAAGATCAACGTGAGCAGAACTAGAATCGCGATCAGTGAGACGATCAGAACTACGTAAAGCCATGACTGAGAGGTCTGCTCAGCAGCTGGTGGCACTGGAATACGGTAATCAACTGCAGCATGAAATTTCCTGAACGATTTACGGCTTACCTACAGTATCACTCGAATACCCGTACGCTCCGAAACCCTCGAGATTGGCGGCCCGCACTCTGAATTCCCACGTTTGGCGACGATCACTTTTGGCTGGTCGCCACCATAGCTTCCATCCGTCCAGCCCACGCTCTGCAATCTCCCATTCTGCGGAGCGATTGTGTCGCATCTGAAGGACCTTAGTGGAATACAAGCGCAGCAACGGATGCGATTCCGTTTGCAGCCATTGACTGCCCAGCCGAGCCGACATTGGCTGGCGGTGAATCCTTTAGTGAATACACATCGCGATGTTAAAGAATGCCTCGAATCAATTTCGCCTAGGAATGGGCTTCTTTGGACTACGCTCTAGTGCCTCACTCATAAACTTCCCGGAGCGGCGAAACCTTGACACTCTTCGTTTTGAGTTTCTTGAATACTAACCCTCTGAGAATTCGATAGTAAGGACTAGCACATTTCCCCTGGTGTTAGCATTTATTTTGTAATTCCCAAATTTGCCCATATACGGGCCTATTCTGTGGGAGTAGCTCTACCGTTCCTGCTTGTTCTCCCTGGAAAATCACTGCGGACACGCGGAGGCCCCTTCACAGTTCCTTTAAAGAAATGTCTTGATAAATTCGCACCTCAACGGCATAGCTGGTGATCGGCGAGCCTCCATCACTGGATGGTTCCTTCCACGAGACAATCCATCCTTCTTCATCCATTCGAGCTTCCACTTGGACAGGCGCAGTTGGCACACCAGCTGAACAGGACGAAGGTTAAAGCAAACGAGGCTGGCTTGGGGGAGAGGCACGTACAACAAATGCTTTGGAGAATTGGCAGTCTTTCTTATCGGTTGATCGGCTCACCCAAGTTATTTCACCCTTAGGCCTAGCACAAGCCGATACAGGTGGGCGGTGAGTGAGGGCACCTGGCCCCGGCCCCGAATACGCGCCACCTACGCGCCATTGCCCGTAGCGGGCTTCATTACGCCACCTTTTCCAAGCACTATTTAGTGTCCGGGAACATACTAGTAATGAGTCGCGAACACAGTACAGACCGCCATGGACCACGAACACAGGCTTTGGTCCCCTTGGTCACTCAATCCCAACTACTTCGCTTCTAACCGACACAAGTGTGACACAACTCCCCGTCACACCCACACGCTCCTATAATTTCTCGCGGAACGCACGATGTTCTCGTTCTATTATCCGCACCAAGAACTTTCCCATAAAATATTCACCCCCCAGGCAAGTTCAAAAGAGCACTCGCCAGCCCAATGAAATCTACACACTTTGTGGCCGCCCATACTTTCGTTTTTATCCCGATAGCTCTTTAGAAACGCCCCTAGTCTACAACCCCAGCACGCGCGCCTACCGGTACACCTGTCGCTGACCTGACATTACATGACCGAATTCCCTGCTTCTATCAGCCAGCCTACTTTTGTTTTAGCTGCCTCGGCAGCCTTCCCCGATCGTCAGTCACTACCTCTGAACACGCCGCCACTCGCTCCCGGATTTCATCCGCACTGTAGGATTCCCGACACGTAAGCAGCAACAAATCCCGAGTCAATCGATGACAGATGGCAGCAAAGCCAGGACATATCCTCCATCCGAGACCCTGCAAAGACAAGGCACTTTGTTCGACATTCACACCGCCTGACACAATACAAACTACATGTCTCATTGCTGACTATGGCGTCTTCCCTGACTGGCATGCTTGTAATCAATAATAAGCTAAATAACTAATGAAGTAGTGAATGGGAATAAAAAGCGAAATAAACGATAAACAGGGTAACAACAAAGAAAATAATAGCCTTGAGTCGGGTCGTTGTTAGCTAGCGCCCATACATGTTGAACCTCGCAATTTGACGCCGAATAGGGTCACTCACCAAGGATGGTCGACACCGAAGGATCGAACGACGCATTTGAGGGGGATTTCCAACCACTTGTGGCACCTGTCTGGAAAAGGAGAATATGTTTGCTGTAATGAATAAACAGTGTTGCCGTGTAACCTTCACCTACTAGGCTTCGTTTTTTTTACGGAGTACCCTCTCCAAGTTCTCAAAGTGCAGAAAAACGAAATATGGGCTAGCGCCAGGGATACAGAAGGCGTGGAAGTTAACAACGTTAACTACAAGATATTGCCGCCACTCTATCTGCGCACATAGCCGTCCCTCCCTCAGCTGAAGCACGGTGATATCTTCTGCCCTCTCACCTCTTTGTACTGCACTGATATAACCGATGGTGGTTGCTCAGCTTGTAGGCTATTCCATCGAAGCAGCAGTGACGATCCGGTCACGTTGTCTGGTCGAAGGGTTCCAGGGATGTCCTTCGTACGGGCAGAAGCCTGAAAAACTTCATCTCTTCAAACTCTCTTCATCTACTCTCACGTTGAGGTTCGGCGATTCAAAATGAAACCCTGAATAATCTCGTAGAGGTAGGAAGTATAGTATGACAGGCAATGATGTCGAGGGCTTTTCAACCGTAACCAAAACGAAAGCGAATCTGAGCGCTCAATGATTAGATTCAATTGAATATCCTGCTTTCTGGGCGCATATGCTTCCTTCTCGGAATTGGCGTTTGCTGTACTCCATGGAAAAACCTCGAACCTCTTGTGAAATCGCCTCAGCGTCTTCTAGAAACTGCGAGTTGAGGTGGGATTTGTGAATGGAAGTTGCCTGAATGCAGAAATTTTGAAAAGCAATGAGTAATATAAATTGCGCCTTACCCAGAACTTATACTCAGTCGCCGGCCTGAGATTAGCGATTTTTGCCCGACACGGGCTCACAAGACAGGATGCTGAATCGGAGGTCGTTGGTGAGAAAGCACCATCGGTGTACTCTTGAACCGCAATACTAGATGGTGACGCCAGCCCAGAGGCTTGTTGCGAGATCTGAAAAGGACTCCGAAGTGATTTGTATTCTATAATAAAACTTTCAACTTCTTTTTCAGCGTCGTCTGGTCGTAGATGACACGGAGGGTAAGAAGTCTGTACCACACCTATACGACTCGATAGATCGGATCCCTCCTATACAGTTCCTTTTGGGTTGTCTTTTTTCAACAAGGGGGAAGCGCTGAATCAACTTCTCAGCCGGCGCCTACCTTGTATTTTATCTCTGCAATCGGTGCGTTGAGGGTCTCCGGAAGATTCCAGTACAGATATACCGTGTCGGGAGTGACGGCTACGGCTTGCAACGAACGTGGCGCTGACGGGTAACCAAATCTAAACACGAAGTTTCACAAGTAGGTGGGGTACTGAAACGAGTCAAAAACCATTTTATCCCGGTCCGGAACGACTTCGGGTCCGAAATACCGCTCGCGTCCGAGTATCGATTCAGCCACGCTACCGTAACCTCGTAGTCCGTTTCTTTGTCCAGAATCCCGTTCTCAACATGAATTTTCTCCGTATAACTACGGATATGCTTCACTTTGTCGGTGTTCTTTCGGGTGAAGTAAACCTAAAATTTGCAAATCAAAAATAGCAAGAATCATACAAAACGATATAAATTAATTCAAGGCAGAGAATTGGACATGTGAATGAATTGCTTACCTCATAGTGGGTCTGCGGAAGCGAGACACCATGACAAATGTTCAGGGGAGGAGGTTTCGAGACCTCCAGAAAAGCACCGGTTTTGCCTTCATTCACCACTGTGAACTGTATCCCAGCCGAAGACGGTAACGCGAAACAGGATCGATCTGTAAAGGATGGAAGTAAGTTAGCTGGCGAAAAACACTTGTCCAAGAATAAGGAATTAAACAAATTCTTAATTTTTTCTGCTAACTGATCAAAAGTCGTTGGAGCTAGGAGCACCTCTGAGGTTCTCTTGAATCATTCGTTTCACTTTAGTGCATCAGGTATGTGCTCCCAGAAGCGTCTCTTTTTATTCACCTTCATAATAGGACAGCAACGTAACGCGCGCGGTCGCATGCGCGAGTGGTTAGACAAGGCACAAATCATTCATTATCACCGTTTAGATCATAATGTCGTGTTTCCTCTCTACTGACTGGAGAAGCTGGGAATAGTGTCGATGGGTGAACAAGGAATCTACTACCCCACAGTGGTGATCAGCAACGTTGCGACCGTTCTCGACGCCTATAGGCTACTACGGACTCGACCAAATGAAATGCAGCTCAGAGATGAACGTATAAGATTTAGAAAAGGCACAACTTTCTGATGGTTCTAACGAACCATCAGAAGTTGTGCCTTTTCTAAAAATCTTCTCGAGCAGAACCATTGACGCGAGGTAGATTAACCCATTACTCACAAGAAGAAAGAAAAGTTACCCTCACTTGGAAAACTCACCAGGGTACGGTTGACTGCTTTGGCTGACGGCAAGAATTTGGCGAAGTGGCGGATAGGTGATTGGAATTGGCACCACCGTTTCTCGACCGTAGATGAGCATCTCCGATGAGGTTACGAACACAAACAGCTTGTCGGCTATTGCGAATGCTGACATCGCTTTCAAGCCTTTTTCTAGAAGTTTTTCTTTCAGTTCAGTTTTTCGAAGCATTTTTTTCGTTTTAAGCGCTTAGCTTTCATATACATAGTGGATCTCTCTATAGTGGCTCAGGTACATTTGGTCTTAAGCAGAACAGTAAGATTACGGTACTCTCGGTAAAATTCGAAAACTCTAGCGAATAACGCGATTTCGTTTTGAGTTCCACTTTTTGTTGCAACTTCGATTGAAAGTGGGCTTTTGATAATCTGAAGATACCGTTCAACGTATCTGGCAGAACTATACATGGGGGGCGAAGGCTGTGTCTTGGAGTTTGAGGAAAAGAATAAACCCTGAATTGCGCTCTGCACATCGACTTTTGCTTCGAAGTGGAATGAATCACACAAGGCTCCTGCTTTTCACAGACAAATCGTGTACAGGGAGAAAATGCTCAGCTGCATTTAGCATTTGCCCCAGAACGTACTCAAGTTTACCCCAACAGTGCGAAAATAGTTGAATATTGGCCAGGATTTTGTTTTATGTCAAAGAGGTTCATAATCCTGCACTCTGAATCCCAATCTCTGCGCAGTAAAAACCAGATTATCGTGACCTTCGTAAAGTGGCAGTATACGTTTGATTAACATGTTCTCCAACTGATAGCGTCTTCTTCATAAGAAGGGCGTGAAGAAAACGGATGTTTTTTCTTCAAAATTTTAGTTTACGGAAAGAGTGAGAAATCTGATTCCACTCACCTCCAAACTTATTCCAATCGATGCGTACTTCATTACATTTATTGTTTTCCTCGACGTCAATCACTATTAGGCCATTCCAAGTCAAGGCGTAGATTTTCGGAGACGAAGCACGGTTCCATGCGAACTCTGTGTTCATATAGTTGTGCGATGAGTTACTCGACGAAAAAAGGGAATATTTTTAATCACAATTAGTAAAATTCTGAAGGGACTGATTGAGAGAATTAGCCTAACTTTTAAGTCGTTGTAGGAAATCCGTTCCGACGCTGTTATCTATAGTGCTATGCCACACCTCCGACACGTAACTATCGCTGGCCATCAGCAGTTAGCTACGATAGTTTGTTTCCCTTCAGGGCGGTGTCAGACCTTTTCGAATCGCTAGTAGCTTACCGCTCGACTCGCAAAGCCCAGCATCAGCCACAGAAATCTTTCTGCAATCGCACGGCAAAAGAGCTCCCCCCCTCCTTTACAGCAGACCGATTGGACAGTTTCCAAATGTAAATTAACCAATTTGAAACAAAGTTCGAATTAAAATGCTTTCGTTCTCACCTGTCATCATCCACGTGACCGTTTGACTCGTCAGGCAAGGTACAACCAGTGCTAGATTTTTCTCGTGACTTCGAGCGAGGTTCAGCAGAAACAGCGACCCATTGCGTGTTAGCAAGTAGGCAGTGCTTGAAATTTTTTGTTTAAGACTTTAAAAATGCTACTTGCTACGTAAAATCTTAGGTGCTCTCATGAGCGCAACAAAAGACACATTGCCCACTTCTTGAAAGGATCAAAAGTCAGCTGTTTGGCGTCGGTGGCTCCAGTTGAGAGTTCAATTAGCTTTCTAGGAGTTAGCAGTGACGTTGTAAGGAACGCATCAAGTGGAAGTTGATACAGTGCCTGACCGGACACCAGCAACAGCCGATGGCCTACCCAGTCCGATGTCATGTGCACTCGTGACATCGCCACCGATCGCACCTGAAATGCAGTCTTCGAAAAACTGAATAGTTTCTTTTCGATTAGTCCTGTTGGAACTGGCCACCGAAAGCGACATTCTTTAATATATCGTTCTTAAGCATTCAATGTTCGGACCACATCATGACCGCAGAGGTGAGAGCTCGGTTCAAATTCAGTTCCGGGACGAGGGCTATGCGTGGGGCAGTGGCGTCAGTGGATCACCTTCACTCAAGAATATACAGGGCGAGCCAAAATTATGAGGACAGTGTGTAGCGCGATCAGGCCCTCTCTTTGCTGAGCCTCTCAATTTCTATTTTCATTTCCGTGCACTATATGCTAGGGTGCGGGGATTGAAATCCTGAGTCGTGCGTCGTCTAGATCAACAAACTTTCCATCCCTTACCATGGTTAATTGTACCAGACGTGTCTGGGAGGCAAAAACCTGATGTCACATCTGGCAAGGCCCGCAAGTCACTGTGTATAGGCCAATCACATCCCACCGGCCACCTACGAATGTACAGCACATGCTGCCGAATTCCAAAATGATATGATCAATGGTAATGTCTTACACCTTTGTTCTATTTATATGATACGAAGCGACGTTGTTTTCCCATCGAAACCTTACACTAAATATAATACAAATACATCTGAAATAAGTGAGTTAACCACATCACGGTACGGCAGTCCTATATTTGAACCTAACAGGTCTGACACGCAGTTCAACGGGATAAAGAAGCTTGTATGAACATTGAACGCCTCAAAATTTGGAACCTCGCACAAATTGAAAGTAACCGACAGCTTAAAGTTACCGTTACCTCCTGGGGCGCAGGACAAATCTATCCTTCAAAATAAAAAAGAAGAATGCCAGGCAACAGGATGCTTTCATACCTTGTGAACAATGTTGTCGATGTCGTTAGTGTCGATCTGAACAAGTACCGGCTGCAGAGAATCGTGTTCCTTCCGAACGGCAAAACAAATCGTTCCCGATGAAAGCAATGGCCTGGTATTCCATCTGAAAGCAGGAGAGTAATGTTGACTAACCCTAATGAGGAGGAATCAGGTAAAAAGCTCAAGAAGAGTAAACATGTCTGATGACAGATTGAACCATTGATAAAGAAAATATTTCCTCGCTTGCAGGGGCTGACCCTAAATATGCATATATGAACCTTTCAAAAGCTCAGGAATCGTTGATGGCTCAGCTCCTCTCTGTTGATAGAAAGGTTAATTTTTCTCTGGTGAATTTTTCAGAGTGACGTTGATGTCATGGGCAGGTCTTGGTTAGAGTCGTCGAGTAATGGTGATAGTGTAGAGATAGGGAAGCGAGGACCTCAACTGAATGAATGGATCGAGTTGAGTGACGGGTGCACACGGTAAGCAGGTCACGGTAAGTCCGATGTTTTGGTAGACGAAGTAGACGAAGGAGAATCGGTCTCTGGGATATAACCGACAAAGGTTTTCATTCTGTCGACGAACGTTGCCTAGGAACAGACTGTAGAAAAGTAGTACCGGCTGCAGTAGTAGTGCCAACTTCCGATGAAACTGTGTGGTTTAAACACATATTGCCACATGAATGCCACTGTATGAGGATGGAGGAGAGATTCGATTCTATACTGTGATAAATACTTATTACCCGGTTCACGTGTGAGATCTGACGCTTCTCTCGTTTCGACACCGGCTCGTCCTGGGTAACATTAGTGATGGCGATGAGAGCATTGGTGGAATCTATTGCGAACAGTCGCACCAAAGGCTTTAGTTCTGAAGAAGAGCTGGTAAGCAAAGGCACATGTCATACTGCGATTTTCACGCATTTATACTCGCTTACCGCTACTGTCTATCGAGATTTTCGGAGTGAATTCGCCAATGTTGTTCGGTTCGTTAGCGGCTGCCACGGAACATTCGACCTTAAGATGAAAAGGCAAATAAAAAATAGAGAAAAGGCAAAAGGAAAATATTTGAGAACTCCATGGAAAATTATAGTATCTTCAAGTCCTCACCTTGCCACTCTTCACTTCAAAGGAGATATGGGTAATGGTGCTTCCCACAGGGCCTCCTTGCGTAGTACCGTCATCCTGCAAATATTTGCTCAGGCTTCATTAGTAGAGTTATGAGCTAGTGATAAGCCAAGCCCACCTTCGTGCAGTTGATTATATACTGAAAAGGTGTGGCATTCCACTGAAGTGGAGGTGACCAGAAAAGCGAAATAATCGCTCGAGCACCATCGACGGTTTTCTGAAAATGAGCCACTGAAGAATCTCAGAAGCAGAGCGATTGGAAGACATTGTAAAGGAAAGCCCAGACCTCTCTTGGAAAGTATAATATTATTGAGGTAGGTGACTAACTAATTAATTGATTAATTAATCCCAGTTATGAGGCCTTATTCCACAACCCAGATTGTTTGATCCGTCTACTGTTGCTAGGCAAGGTCTTAAATCAAAAATGAAATTACAGAGGCTTGCCCTTCATTTTTCCTTTCCATATGATTGGTTTGAGCTTCAGCCTCTTCATTCAATCTCCACACCCTCCTACGGCTACATTCTATGATAGAATCTGGAAAGGGATTGAGCGTGGCCAGCTTCACATTAGGCCACCAATTGAAGAGACCGAACATATTCTAGCCCAAATTTGGAAGCCGGATGATTTGCAAGACATTCTGGCTCTGAGCACACACACGAGAGCACACACACTCCCCACAGATTCGTAGAGCAGACTTACATATAATAAAGCCCAGGCATACCCCTTTAGCACCCACTATGTGGAAGAAAGTACATACGTGCGTATAAAACACAGTAAAGTAATGCGAAGGGACCCGAGTCTAACACCTTTACTAAAAATTGCTCTTAATGACAGCTGATGTCGTTGATTCTTCGCCGTGCCTATGTCTCATTTTGAAATATGCAATTTTCTTGAGGAGCACAAACCTGTTGTGTGGCATAGAGTCGTACATTTGTTGGAGCAGTGGGAGGTTTCAATGGAGCCTGCAGTCCAATCTTGCTTGTATTAAGACATCATCGTGGTGATTCCTGAAAAATAGTTTTTCATGTAGCATACCGTAACATTATTACTACTACTACTACGCTATGTAGAAGAAAAGAGCAGGAGCGATTATGAGCTACTTGTTTGTAAATGGTCTTTGATTCGAAATGATTTACATATATATTAACAAAACATTGAAGAGGGCCAATTCACATTGGCAATAAGAGAATACAGTATTCCCTGCGCCTTCAGAAGATGGGCCATCAAGCAAAGTTCGAAGTTATACGACGAACTGAAGTTGTTATGCGAAAAATATCACAATATATCAAAATATGGCAAACGCAGAGCGCGACTTAATAAGTATGCGGCGCTATGGCTCTGATCTACCGTATACCCCCCCCCCCACTAATATGCCCACCACCACCCCAAACCGTACTACTACGCTTCACACTAACTGGGCCAGGTTTACCTCGTAACCAAATTTTACACAATAATAAGGCTTCTTTATTAACTGGAACCACACTTCACATTCCCATCATCACCTAGCAGCGCAATAGCAATTCAGTTTCACCTCGCACTCTGCCTTTGTGGAAGATTCGCGGGTAGCTGCTTCATGAAGCTACTAGAGTGCCAGAATGGCTTCTTACCACTTCCTATTATGCTTGAAAGCTCACAACAAGCCAATCGGGACCAGCCCGCTATATTGTTTATAATTTACGATGATGCTCTACCCCCGCACTACTCAGTTCACTTATTTAAAATCATTCATCTAATTACCGAGTTTTGCTCCGCCCGCTTTCGCGCGCATCACTCGACAGTCCGTTAGCGAAACTGGAGGACCCATAGAATATCACCATGAGGTCCTCCATTAAACACTTCTAACTATTGAATGTGTTAGACCTTACCCAAATTCGCGAAGTCCATCGACAATATGCGTGATAACTATGGCAAGCTGATTGGTACAGGTGGTGGGTAGATATATGTATTATCTCACAACTGTAAACATCCAGCATTTTTCTTGAATTCAGATAATTTAGCGGTGAAATACGATTTTCTTGCTGTCAGTCTCAAAATGAAAATGAAATATGCCTATTTACATAAGTGAGGAGCTAATGCTTATCATTTATTTACACTCACCATTATTTAGAACCCGAAAGGATTAGCGGTTTCAATGAGTTTGGGTTTTCTTAATAGTCAGAAATGAAACTTATCATTTGCTGAAGACTTTTTTAAATTTATGCAGTCGAATTCTATTAAGTAACGTTGATATACAGGGGGGGGGGGCAAAAAAAAGAGTCACTCCTACTCACATTCAAAACAGAATTAATTACACTTTGCCAAAACCAAACCGAATGAGCTCAATTGCATATTGAAGAGCACATTCTATTCTATCAAAAACATTGCATAGTGGCCTTCTAAACCGACGACACCAGAAGATTTTCCCACGGAAACATGGTTCGCGGTACGAGCTCAACGGGGTCGTCGAGAAACCATAGATGATTACGACGTCTCTGAAACGCTGGTCAAAAGCCATTTTGCATAGTCAGAGCTAGTGTCTCTAAGAAGTCATTCACCAGTTATCCGATTGAAGAATTTATGTAGCAGCTTCAGAATGGAGCGATTATTGTAGGCCTCCTTAAGCTCGACGGTGATGACAGATGACGTCATATTCTGGAGACGGTGAACGCAGCGAAGGTGGGCCTGATTCTGCTTATGGGGGGACATCTAAGGAATAATTTGCAC